ACACATCTATATCATACAGATGTGTTCTCAAACCTAACACACACACACACACACACACATCTATATCATACAGATGTGTTCTCAAACCTAACACACACACAAACACACATCTATATCATACAGATGTGTTCTCAAACCTAACACACACACAAACACACATCTATATCATACAGATGTGTTCTCAAATCTAACACACACACAAACACACATCTATACTAATATCATACAGATGTACTCTCAAACCTAAGACACACACAAACACACACCTACACATGTCATACAAATGTGTTCTCAAATCTAAAACACACACACAAACACACATTTTCATCATAAAGATGTGTTGTGTTCTCAAATCGAACACACACAAACATAAAAACATATCTATATCATACACATGTGTTCTTAAATGTAACATACACAAACACACATCTATTATATTAATATCATACAGATGTACTCTCAAATCTAATACACAAACACACACACACACATCACAAACACACATCTATATCATACAGATGTGTTCTCAAATCTAATACACAAACACACACACACACATCACAAACACACATCACAAACACACATCTATATCATACAGATGTGTTCTCAAACCTAACACATACAAACAAACATACATCAATATCATACAAATTTGTGCTAAAAATAACACACAAACACACACACCAATATACATCATACAGATCAGATGTGTACTCAATTATAACGAACACACATTTATATCATTCAAATGTGCGCTCAAATATAATACAGATCCACACACACATACACTATATATAATTTAATTATCAAACTGATGTGTAGTTTTAATCTGAACATACATGTGCACGCATGCACGCACACAAACAAACAAGCACGTACACACACAAACACGCACGCACACACACACGTATAGCATGACCACACACGTGTATAATTTTACCATACAAGTCCACATATCATCCTCATACAGATATATAAATATATATATATGTAAAACCCCAACATACAACCAAAGATTGTCCAGTGTGTCAGATTTGTCTACAACTCTGAACCACCATACACACGTACGTTCACACACCTCTTACACACACACACACATTAACACATACCGCCTCACACCCACTCACACACACACCCCCTCATACACACCTCACACATACGAACACGAATCTAAAGTACAGATGCCGATATGTGAGGTCTGCAAACAAAATGAGTTACCGCTCCAAGTTTAACCCCATGGACATATACACTCCAAATTGGACAGTCAGGTCAAAATTCATAAGTGGAGTCTGTACAATCGATAAGTGTGATATGATAAAAGACAAAGTTACACTGGAAGAAAATGGCAACAGTTGAAAATGTACAAACTTGATCTCGGTGTCAATCTTTGGTTGATTTTGTTTGAAATCTACACTCTGTGGCTGTGACGAGTACCTCATTCTGTCAGCACACCTCACATATTTCTTCGGGGGAAAAAACCCACAAAAATAACAAAAAATAAACTTATTATCACACTAAAATTATTAAGTCGACAAAGCACAGGAGCTCAGCGACCCAGCGTGTATCTCATTCTGTCCGCACACCTCCGCATATTTCTTCGGGAAAACCCCCCCAACAAAAATGAACTTGTTATATATATCATCACTCTAAAACTACTAAGTCGACAAAGCACAAGAGCTCAGCGACCCAGCGTGAGCACAACGGCGGTGCCCAGGTCTGCCTACCTACAGACACACCACACCCTCCACACACCCACTCCGCCCGAGGGTAGTAGAAGACAAGTTTCCTCATAGATCCATCCTTCTCTCTATCTTTCCTTCCATCTTTCTTTTCTTTTATCAGCAATCAAGAAAATTAAAAAAAACAAAAGTATGTGCTTTTCCCACACCCATTGACAGAATTTCGATTATTTTAGGAGGCGGGCTTCCAACCCTGCCTGTCAGGGCCAACCCTGCCTGAGAAGGATACAACATTCCAGCAGAAAGACCGAGCGAGATACTCAATAAAAATTCCTGCCACTCGGGAATGAAACTCGGGTCTCCTGCCTGCGAAACCAGAGTGCCTAACTACTACACCACAGACGCCGGTAACACAAACAGTGAAGTGTTTTGTTTGCCTGTTCTGAAGCAATCAAGTCGTGACCTCAGTGCTTTCTTGTCCAATCTCCATCTTTTTTTTTTTTACAGTGAAAATAAGACTTCTTCTTAAGTTCACTATTTATTATGAACTGTTTTCACTGATTTTAAAAAAGGAGATAGAACAAGAAAGCACTGAGGTCGAGAAGTGTCGTCGAAACAAAACTTCACTCACAGCTCTAGACACAGCACAGAATCTTCACATCTCAATACGCTAATCACACACAGGTTAATATCTGACAAACAGTCAAATTCACATACATTATAACATTGTAACACATTAGCAACCGATCCACTACTTCAAACCACCGGCAGAAGTAGAGGGGAAAACAGTTTATCTTCAGGAGATGGGTCAGCTATAACCAAGATGAAACAGATGTTTATCAGTGGAGTCATCAGAAACACGCTAAAACCAGAAACGTGTACGCACGCACGTACGTTTGCACACAGACAGCACACACACACACACACACATGCATATACACAAGCACGCACACACACACATGCATGTATGTAACCAAGCACACACACACTTGTGTGAATGCATGAATGCCCGTACACACACACATACACTCACAATCACATATCGCGATCCTCGTTTGTAAAAAGTCCAACATGCACCAGAACAAGTTTATTGCACCAAGACGTTGACTGCAGAGTTTGTTCGCCCGTTGCCACGGCAACCTTGTGCCGGCCGCCATGAATACTCCTCCTCCTCAGCTGTGAGATCGCCGCTGGGGGAGGGTGTCTGAGCAACGCCAACCGATGACTATAGCGATGACGACCATGATGATGATGATGATGAAAATATGACTATGACAGCGATCTGTCAGTGACAATGATGATGACAGTGATTCGTCAGTGGTGTGTCAGTAGCAGTGATGATGATGACAGTGACGTATCAATGACGTGTCACAGGCAGTGATGGTGACAGTGACACATCAGTGACAGAGTCTGCCATGTGACAACGGCGACACAGTTCTCACACTGACGGAAGTGATGAAGGTGTCAGAAATACAGCAGCAGCAACCACAACATGGCTGCTCACTACAACAACCACCATCAACAAGATGATGATGATGGTGATGGTGAACTACAATGGTGGTACCCCTCTAGGGTTGCTGATGTTGCTGCTGTTGTTGCTGATGATGATGATGTTGAACATCGATTGGTGGCACCACTTTGGTGTTGCTGCTGCTGCTGCTGCTGTTGATGTTGTTGGACTAAGAAAGTTGCAGTATGGCCTCACTATGTTATTGTTGTTGTTGCTGATACTGAACTACGCCAGTAGCACCACTTCACCGATGACCACCACAACATCATCAGCCACAATAGCAAGACCATAGGGAGAAGACAAGCTTCCTCCTAGATACATACTGATGATGATGATGATGATGATGATGATGAGGTTGCCGAACAAGGTAGGTGGTGGTATGGCCTCACTATGTTATTGTTGTTGTTGTTGCTGATACTGAACTACACCAGTAGCACCACTTCACCGATGACCACCACAACATCAATAACAGCAACACCCTAGGGAGAAGACAAGCTTCCTCCTAGATCCATACTGCTGCTGCTGCTGCTGCTGCTGATGATGATGATGTTGAACTAGAAAGTTGGTGGTATGGCCTCATTATGTTGTTGTTGTTGATTTGAACTACGTCAGTAGCACCACTTCACCGAAGACCACCACAACATCATCAGCCACAACAGCAGCAGCCTAAGGAGAAGACAAGCTTCCTCCTAGATCCATACTGCTGCTGCTGATGATGATGATGATGTTGTTGAACTAGAAAGTTGGTATGGGCTCCTATGTTGTAATTGTTGCTGGTACTGAACCATGCCAGTTGTAGCACCACTCCACTGAAGACCACCACAAAAACAACATGAACATCAGCAACAACAGTGACAGCAGCAGCGACAGCGACAGCTCCCACAGCAGCACAAAGCCAGCTAGGACTTGTTGTTGCCAGTGGCCGCGTGGAAACTCTCCAGGTAAGCTGAGTGCACCGTGGACAGGAAGCTGGAGTCGTTCTGAGCACATCCGGGGGGTGGGGTAAGATAAGATAAGATAAGATAAGATAAGATAAGATAATACTTTATTATCCAAGAGGGAAATTTTTCTTGGCTGTACAGGACCGTAAAAACACATGCAGGTATACATAAACATTTAAATTATATATTACTCTAATTAAATTTCAATATAAAAAGAGAAGTAAAGCTGACAAATACTACATATCACATCAGATGCATCATTCAACCACATGCAGGAATTTAATTACAAGACCTTTGGAGTTATATAGGTACATACTCTAAAGAGCAATACACATCTATGCTTATTCTGACAATAGCCTTATGCTGGATGGTAAAAAACTTCTTTTATATCTCTTCTTTCTTTGTTTTTAGAGGTACATATCGGCAGCTGCGTGATCTGACAATTTGCATGAAAAGGGGGTGTGATGGATTGTTTATAATGCTTCTGATCTTTTTTATACGTGTGGAGTTATACATTTCATCAATTCTAGTAAAATCATATCCGGAGATCTTGCTGGCTTTCTTAATGGACCTTGTAAAAATTGAGTAAGCGTAACAATTTATACAAAATATGGAGATCTGTAAGAGCCTCGTCGCCACTGAGCAGCGCCGGAAGTTTACCCGGGAGGAGGGGAATACTCTTCAGGGAAGTAGGGGATACAGGGAGAGGTGGGGTAAGGGGAAGTGGTTTAGTTTGTTTGTTCGTTTAAAGTTTTAGTAAGAGTTTTTTCGGATGGAACAACTATATGAAGGTCTTTCGGTTTTTCTTTTCCTTTTCTTTTTTTTTAAAGTTAAATTTTTACTGCTCGTGCAAGGACAATAGATGTTTGATAAGAAAGAAGGAGCAACAATTTTAAGGATTTAGTTGGAGGTTTTAAAAAACAGTTTCAGTAAGACTGATTTTAGTAAGAGTTTTACAGCACTTGCAGGGACTATAGCTGTTTTATAGGAAAGAATGTGAGAGACAGATAGAGAGAGGGACAGACAGAGAGAGAAGAAGAGAAGAGAGAGATGGGCAAAGAGAGAAAGAGAGGTAGACAGATAGATAGACTGACAGAGAGAGATAGAAAGAGAGCCAGAGAAAGATAGGAATTACAAACTGACAGTATACAAGTGATGGGCTCTGTGACAACACAGTGCAGGACACAGAGCGGGCTGGTGAGCATAGATATGTGCCTTATAAATATGCAGTCGTTACTACTGCTATTTTTATTATCATCATTATTACTATCATAATAATAATAAT